CCTGTTGTCGGTATTTTGCTCAGAATTTTTCAGAAAGACGGGGACTCAACTGTTGAGATTGGCAACACATCGTTCACTATGTATGCTGCTACAAGTTTGTTTACCTCAGCCTTTGTAGTGGTTGCCTGGCGGTGAAGTTCAAGCCGAGCCTGCTTACACGGCGTCGACACCAAACTGGCTGCACCATCCCTCTGGGGCTCTTTAGCTTCTAGCTTAATGCCTGCGTGTTGTCTTTGTAAGTGCTTGGAAAGATTTGACGTTGAGTTCACAGCAGTAGACAGTGTCTTGTGGCCCAGGCATAGCTTGCACCCAACTGTTATGTTCTTGTCCTTTCTCGCAACAAAAGAAAAATAATGTGCAAACTTCCATCCATAAAATGATATCGTCATGTTCTCCTCCACCTCCGCCTCTGCCATGTTGTTGTTCTTCCCTCCCTGTGACTATGTATGTCGTGACGTCCCAACGTCATTGCGATGCGTACGTCTTTGTTTTTCCCCGTCATGCGTCTCTGCTCCGTCTTCCCACAACTATTCTCTGAAAGGTCCTGATTAATTGTAACGCAAGTAACGAATGTAAGATTTTGTTAGTAACTGTAATAAATTACAGGCATTTTCAAAGTAGTGCGTTACACTACTGCATTACTGAAAATGTAATGCAATACCCAACACTGATTATGGCATCCCAACAGTTCAATTTTGGTCTCATCTGACCAGACTATATTCTCCCAGTATTTCACAGGCTTGTTTAAATGTTGTGCAGCAAACTTTAAAGGAGCTTCAACATGCTGTTTCTTCAGCAGTAGAGTCTTGCATGGTGAGCGTGCATATAGGCCATGACGGTTGAGTTGAGTGACTACTTAATGTTTTCTTTGAAACAAACGTACCTGCTAATTCCAGGTCTTTCTGAAGCTCTCCACAAGTGGTCCTTGGCTCTTGGACAACTCTGATAATTCTTTTCACTCCTCTGTCCTTGCGAGGAGCACCTGGTCGTGGTCGGTTTATGGTGAAATGATGTTCTTTCCACTTCCGAATTATGGCCCCAACAGTGCTCACTGGAACCTTCAGAAG